CTTATATTAAAGTTTTTCTTCATTACCCATTCAAGCAGTCTCCAGCCATTATTAGTCTCAAAGTGGGTTCCTCGTCACCGAATTTGAATTCATCTTCATTTTGTTAACTATAACATTAATATTCAGTTGCTTCACTAAATCCAGTCTTTTAAAATTAATGTACAATGGATCTTGTCCACTGTCCACCTCTGAAAAAACAAGTAAGTATTAAAAATGTCCTGAAAGTCTAACTTTACTATAAACAAAACAAAAGTTTGCCAATGTTAGTCAGAAAAAGAAACACAACACAAACCTGATGAGGAAGAACTTAGCACAAATTTAAATGAACTTAGTTTTATGTATCTTATAACTCTACTGTGAAATACTGATTTTTTTTAAAAAAGTCATTAACTGAATGAAATGTCTGGATAAATTCACTTTTCATCAGACATTTACCAGTTAGCATTTCTTTCTCTAAGTGAATACAACATAATATTTTCAGTGCACACAATCTTGATTTATCTAAAAACATGAACATTTCTTAAAAAGTTAGCCTCAAAAAATATCTAACCTTTCTTCAACCGATATATCATTTTTATCAAATATACTAGTTTGATACTGAACATGTTTACTAAATGATATCAGTTTGTACAGCTGAAACAGCTTGAGTAGGACTAGGCAGGTACTTGAACCAAATAATGTGACCAGTTTCACATAAAATACACACATTAAAACCTTTAATTGAGATCCCAGTTCTCTGATAACAGTCTTCCACAAAATGTCCACAACCTTAGTTCAAATTTATTGCATGAAATTACTAGAGTTTTAGCTCTTCCTTCCACAACTCAGTGTCAACCAAATAGTATAGTAACATGTGATGTTAATACTTTTTAATTCTTTATTTGCAAATGTTAACTGATATAATAACGTTATAAATTTGTATCAAATTAACACCTCCTAAGGACATCTTAACTCAGATTTGTGTTCAGTAATTATTTCAAACAGACTTATACTATTTGAAGTACACACAACTGGAAGATACTTTTTATATAAGGCACAAATGATTATTTGCCATTCATATAGTTTCCAGACATGCTCAACCCACATTATTCCTAGTGATACGTAAGAACAAGTAATGCATTCTGTACATTACCAAATAATGAGCTTCTGCGTGTTATCCATGCACAAGTCATTAGGACTAGTTTCTACACCCTCTTGATAGGTTTTTCACTTAATTCAATGAGATACCATATATATATATCACTCTACTTCTTCCTAGTTGATTTTCTCAGTCGTTTTGTTGTTGAAAATTGTAACACAGAAGCCTCTTGGACATTAGAGGCTTTTCCTCGCCTGCCATTTTTACGCGAGGAATATTTTCTTTTCGTAGCACGTGGTGTGGCTTTTTCTTTCTTTCTGGGGCCTGGTCGTCTTCCTGGTTTTCTCCTCACCTTGCCTCCACTATTATTTCTTGTTTTTACTTCCTTGGCTTCAGATTTGACAGGTGAAGAATTTCCTAGGGTGGCTGCTGCTGGTATATCACATACAATTTTCTGGCTAACCTTATCAGTGCAGGCTTTAGCGCTTGTCACTGGTGATACTGGTAGTACTTTATTTTCAACACTCCCCATAGGTCCACTGTTATTTTCATTAACAGAGCTGCTAGAAGCAGTGGTTATACTACTGTCCGGAAGAACATCATTTTCTATTTTATCATCACTGTTATATAAAGAGCTGAGTAAACTATCCTGCAGTTTGTTTGATAAGCTATTACCATCCTCTTCTGTGTCCACAGACAGTTTGTGTGAGATGCTATGTTGAAGCAGTTTAACAAAGGAAAAAAATATTTTGTGGCAAACATTACATGAAAAAGTATGAAAGCGTGATGAAGCCATTGACTTCTGCTCTTCTTTAGTTGATATGTTCATGATCTCTTGTTGTTTTGACTGAGCCCTAAGAATTCCAAGCACGGAATTTTGTATCTGGCCACGCACCGACAAAGTTGAAGGACTCAATCCACTACCGTGTTCAGTTTCTGTTTTCTTTTGTAAGCTAATTAGATTTCCATTTTTACTTTCTTCCATCTCTTTTGCAGTTGGACAGACATCTCTGATGTGTTTTCTGAAGTTTGCAAGGTAGCAGAAAGTCCTTCTACACACTGGGCATGTGTGCATTTGATTCATAAAAGTTGCAGATCCTGACTTAATGGGCATATTCAATTTTGGACTCGTGTATGGTGTTTCTGTGGAACTCTGTTTCAACTGAGGAGGTTTTGACTCTACATTCATCTCCAATTTAAATCTACTATTTGACTTTTCAGAGCTCTGACTGACAGAAAGAATGGAGTCTCCAACTAACTTTTCAGTAAACGTTTCCAGAACTGGGGAATTCAAAATTATAGGGAATTCCTCACTAGATTTTACTTGGGTAGATGTGTCACAGTTGACTGTTAAACTATCAGAAACAGATTTCTGACTCTGGGAGTTGTCAGGATTTCCAACTAGTGGCTCATCACTAGATGGATTTAAGCTTTTTGATAAACTGTCCATCTCGGATTTCTGAGGAAAAGCCAAAATGGGTGGGTTGTATGATTTATCTGAATTAATATCAGACAGTTCTAGTTCTTTCTTCTTTGTTCTATTCCTTCTAGAATATATTTTCAACTGCTCAGGAACATAAAATTTCCTGCTTCTACGTAATGATTTTCTTATATTATTTGGTGATGATACAGGTATGGAACCCACAGATGGACTAGATGTTATTAATGTTGTTTCTGAAATATCCGTTTCAACCAGGACAGGATCCAAGCATTCTTCTGGTGGAGAATTCTTTTTGAAAAGTACCAAATCAACATCACGATCCTCCTCACCTATTTTAAAATCAGCTTTTTTAGGTTTTAGTTCCATAACTTCCTGATTTCTTTCACAATCAAAATCTGTAATGTTATTTTCAACAGCTACCTGGTCACATTGCAGTGGCAAAGCTCCTAGTGTAGTTGTATCTGTTTTGTTCACATTATTTTCTGTTGTTGCTATGCTGACTGCAGTGTTAACAGGGAAAACTATTTCTTGCTCTTTTGTTCCATAACAGTTATTTTTCATATGCTTTTTAAGCCTAGCTAAGTAGGTGAATCTTTTACCACAGTGACGACAACTGTGCCTTTGACTTAATGTTTTGTTATCAGTATAAGGGAAACTTGAGCTGTTTGCCTCCATTGCAATTTTTAATGGACATCCTCTTTTGTGTCGTTGGAATGCTGCTAGATAGTAGAACTTTGTTTCACAACCATCACAGCAAAATATTTTAGCTTTATCATCCTTTATTGTTTTGATATGTTGGGATGAATATTTTGGATACCTTAGTTCCCACATGGACTTCTTAGGCTTTTCAATTTTTTTGTGCTTCTTGTGATGGTTTGATGCATATTCAAATCCATCTAGATATCTCTGGATGCCTTTCCCTAACTTTTTCCACTTTAACATTTTATTTCTATATTTCTTTTTAATCTCTGGTTTAAAGTTAATGAATGTCTTTTCTCCACCACATTCTAGAATGTGCAGATGCAGATCTGGTACGGAGCTAAACAACTTTTGACACTTGGTACAGTGCAGTTTAGAATTTTCTGTGGATGTGAGAGGAGGTACTATACTGCTTTTTAGTATCCCTACTGAACTACATAAGTGGTAGCATATTTCAGGAGGAATTTCCTTCTCACCTTCAATTTCAATGTGTGTACAGAAAACATTCAGATGGTTGTTTAACTTATGATCTTCTATCACTTCCAAAGAACCAAATCTTTCTCCACAAGTGTTACAAATATATTTGATATTTCTTTCTTCAGTGCAGTCTTTACCCAGAGATTCCGTTGTCTCTATCTTTGGTATATTACTTTTATTCATTAGAATTTCCTCATCAGATATTGGTTCAGATTCTTCTGACAAATTGTGCACATTAGATGATTCACTCTCTTCTTCACACTCATCATATTCATGTTTTAAGCCAATAGCTTTTAAGATGTTTGACTCTTCAAGCAGTATTTCTGGTTCTGTACTTTTAGGTTTTGACTTTTCATTTTTTTCTGGAACTTCCTTCATTTGACTGAAGTCAAAGTCTGAAGGGAAGTTGTAGTTTGCCCACTGTACTTTGGGTCTAATAGTCGTCTTACATTTAGCAGGAGGTTTTTTAGCTCCATTCTGAATTTGTGAAGACTTTCCATCAACAAAATTTATCAAATTTTCAGAAATTTTCTCAGCTACAGTCATGAAAAATTCTGCTTCAGAAATCTCACCATTAGCTTTCCTGTCATTCTGTGAAGCACTAGATTTTTGGACAAAAACAGATTTTCCAGATTTGTACTTGCCTTGTTTTCCTCTAGGAATATACTGATGGGCAAGACGCCGATGCCGACACATATTGACATATGAAGTGAATTGTTTTTTACAAATAGTGCAAGAAACTTGTATTTCTGTCTGACAATCACCTACCATAAGGTTCACAATTTTACCTTCAGATTCAGTTCCAGTATTATTTGCAATCTTCCCAACATCTACTAGATCCACATCAGTGCTGTCTAGTGACTTAATTGAATGCTTCAGACTTTCATGTTTCTCGAGCAAGATTTTGGTCATAAAAGTTCTTGAACACTTATTACATGGGAATATATGTTCCTTATGGAATTTCATAATGTGTTTTCTTAGTGATTTTTCCAGAGCAAACAAGCCATTACAATAATTACAAACTACTGTTTTTCCTCCTTTGTGTAAGGTCTCATGTTTCTGTAACTTCTCAGCTGTTCTGAATTTTTTGAAACAGAAGCTGCATTTTAAAGCTTTAGCTTCACTATGAACTGATGAGTGGCGTACCAGGTTTTGCTTGTGTGTGAATGTCATGTCACAATCAGGACAAGAGAAACTTTTCTGACTAGAAACTGATGGGTGGTTGGTGACATGAGTTTTCAGTTCACCCCTCACATCAAATAACTGTTGGCATAAATGGCAACGATACAGTCCAATTATATCTTCTGAAGTTGAAACTTGGGTCATTTTATTTTCAGTTATGGCTTCTGATGCTTCTGTTCTTTCTCCTATATGTTCTTCAGAAGGTGTCTCATAATTGTCTTTCAAAGAATTTACATTAATATTACAGTTTGCAATATCCGAGTCAGACAAGTACTTGTAATTAATATGGTTTCTCAGGAAATGCCTTTTGAGGCTGAACGCATGACGATAAATTCCTGCACATATGTCACACTTGTATTGCTTCTTTCCTTGTTTGCCATTCACAGTGTGCTCTGGCTGCATATGAAACTGGAACTCATTCTTCTTCCCTAACTTCTTTTTGATTGTTTCTTCATCTGCATTGTACATCATAGGACTGTCTTTGTTAATATCTGAAATATACTGTTTTATCTCTGTTGAAATATCACTTATTTTTTTAACACGTGGAACGAAGCAATCACCATCATCAACTTTAGCCAGGGAAGAGTTCCTTTTATTCTTTGGAAGAGTCTGAGTTTTATTCTTGGTCAGGCAAGCAATTTCTTTCTCATTTTTCACAATAGACATGTCCGGCTCATTCTTGGCATGAGAATCATTTTCTTTTGTGTTTTCTTGAACACATTGGTCTAATTCCACTTTGGTAGTAAAACTGGCTCCTTCTTCGCACATTGGGAAAGATTTATTGAACTTGTTCTTTGTAAAAGAAATATTATCTTGTAGTATCTCAAAATTCGACTGAACTAATTCATTTTTGATAAAATAATTACTTTGTTTCGAATTCTCTGAGACAGGCTGACATGATTCATTATTGGTGGAAGTATTTTCTAAAACAAATTGTTCTGTTACAACTCTATCGACAGGAAAACTCTTCTCTTTGTTTTGTATATTCTTATTTTTGGAGTTCTGGACAGACTGGTTTATCTTATTTTGAATGCTGCATTTGTTGATCTCTGAGAAAGCTTTTACAGTTCCATCTTTAGCTATGTGCATGTTATTTTTATCAGCTGCTACATCAACATCCACAGACAATTTATCTTCATCTGATGTAACACCAACGCATTGTTTTTTTTCCTCTTCAGAATTTTTTATTTTTCGTAAGATGGGCTTGTTACTGTCACTTAAATCATGCATTTCACGTGTTTTCTTAAGAGCTATGGCTATATCCTCATTATGAGTTCCAGAAGTACATTTCATACCCAAACTAGAACAATTTTCTTCAACCAGCTTCTTTTTAACCGTTGATGAAAGCTCCCAAACTAATGATTTTAAGGTGAAAAAATATAGTTATTTAGGATTTGACAACACAACAAAATCTTTAAAACAACTGAATCTACAAAAAATTGACATAAATACAATAGAAATAATAATTTAACCATAATCTGTTAGTAAAATAAACAATGAATTACATAAAAAATACAAAAATGATTTGATAACTTAACCATTTAAAACCGAAACATCAATGAGAAAACAACAGATAATTTGTAAAAAAAAAGTATAATTTAATCACAAAAATCCAATCTAATTATGATAAAACTTCAAAAAACAAGTATGAAATGTTAATGTTGTAGCACTAGCTTTATCAAAAAATAAAGTTACAATTATCACAATAATAAAGTTAATTTAGTAACTTCATGTTCATGAATTAACCGTGATTTTTTTGTAATATTAGTTTCGGTACAGCAGTCTTAACTTTGCAAAACTGAAGTTGTATTTACCTTGAATTTCCATTTTATTATTCTGCACGAGTTAGGTTTCGAAGATTTTAATAACCTTTCTCCCTAAAAAAAATATTAAAAAAATTTTACATCACCGATTATTTTTCAGAGATATACAATTTTAGCCAGTAAATGTAAACAGCAAATAAGCTACACTTCATCATCCACTAATTCAAAGCCCCTGAAAATATGTCTTTCTCACCATACATACCTAATAAAGGTTGGCAGTGCAGCTATTTTTACAGGGTATACATAAATTCAAAAATGACTGAAAAAAAAATATACACTTTCAGTTTCTCACTTCAAATGTTTATCAACAAAATTGGAATGGTCTGGCTTTTAAAATATAAATATAACTGGTATATGATAGGATAAGAGATAATATAAATGTAACTGGTATATGATAGGATAAGAGATAATATAAATGTAACTGGTATATGATAGGATAAGATGTTTTTTTTAAACAAATGAATTCCTCTTGTTTTCCACAGTATCCAACAAAAATATTGAGCACACTACTTGCTAATTTACCTGATCAAGGGAGTGAGTTACATATGTAATACGACCACTTGCTATTCAAATAATCTGATACACATCTATGATATGAAATCAATTTACTGAGTGGAGTATGCCACTTCTTGAAAGCTTATTTAAAAATGCAAGTAACGTTAATATATCCTAACCCACCCATAATCACTAGATCATCTCGGTACCATTATAAGTGGTACAAAGAAGCTTCGTAAAAACTGAGGCAATATTAAACAAAAAAAACACACAAAACAATTCATCCTCTTCCCTTAAGTGAGTGCAGAGGTAGGTTGAGGATTAAGAACAGCCTGGGGTGGTGCACTTAATACTGTATAGCCTATAACATGTACTACTACTATTTATACAGTTCATAAACTGAATAAAAATACACTGTGAAAAATGTTTCTTTTTACATCTATTAACTATCTTAATAAAGTATGGACCCATATGGCTTTTAAATTACACAAACTGAAACTAAGTTACATAAAAAAAAATCTAAAAGTATTTCTGAGAACTTATGAGCAAAAGCAGAGGACTATGTAATAACACGTCAACCACATTACACCTGCTGTATTCAATTACCTGCACTTCAAGACATTAACAGAAAATTGTGCACCCGATTAATCAAGGTGTTTACATTTTTTTGGAATGGGCTTACCAGCTCAATACACCTTCGTATGGAAGTAACCAATACAATAATGTCTAATACAGACTTTGGTTTTAGGAAAAATCAAGGATGTTATTATGCACTAATTCCATAAATAAAATGGTTATATCTTTTACAAGTATGAAAACATAAGCTACTATATTACACATATATTTGCAGTACTTAAATGTTTACTATTCATCATTATTCGAAAATGCACAGCTGAATGATGAAAACTATTGATAAAGTAACTAAAGTTTAACGTAAATGTTAACCCTTGAGACATAGAATTCTCATTTCCTAAGCCATGTGAATTTGAAGATGTATGTTTGTGAATAAATTATGGAGTAACAATATACATTTAGTTTTTTCTTTCTTATATAAATCTGCTTAACGTAAAGTTTAGTAAAAGAAACTAACCACGAGTTATAAAGGTTAGTTTTGTTTACAGAATTGTAGCTTTGCTAATAACAGGACCTAACCTTCACAGATTCTACAAGTTCTGTTCATTTTCTTTGAGGGCAAATTCATCAAGAGGGTACAAAATTAACGTACCAAATGGTTCTAAAAATCACATCATCCACATAAAAAAAATTTAAAAGTATGTGCCAGGTTGTTATGAAAAATATTACAGGGAACATACCAATTCTGGCCAGTATAAAGAGAAGTATATTCCTAACATAAATCAAGATTTTGTATATTGTTTTTAATGTTATTTTGTGTTAAATTACATGGTTTCCTTTGGTTATATTGTCTGTTAAATTGCAAATTATATGGTTGGTTTATACAACAAAGTTACTAAACAAGCCGGGATTTGAAATGTGCTGTGTGTATATATATAAAGTTAATGCATTTATTTATCCGTTTGTTTGCCTAGGTCTAGATAGAGCATAAGGCAAGTTAAAAAAACAATATATACATGTATATATATAAAAGTATAATTATCACTCACCCAAACCAATGTCTAACTAGGATTTATGTACATGTTAGATAAAGTCTAGATACATTGGTCTAGGGAAGTAATAAGTAATACAAAGATTGGAAGTTAACTAAGGTTACTCCTCTTTTCAAATGAGGTGATAAAAATTGTCCCAGTAATTACAGACCTATTAGTCTCACATCAGTCTTTGCAAAGTCATTTAACAAAGTTCAACGTTGTTTGATAGTCAGCATGGTTTTACTTAGAGAAAACCTTGCTTGACTAAACTTTAAGCATTCTTTGAAGAGGTTACTGCTTATATAGATGAGAGTATAGATGTGTATGTATCTGTATTTTAAGAAAGCATTTGACAAGGTGCCACGTAAAAGACGTGTTAAAAAGTTATTGCAGTAACAGTTGGGAATAGGTTGGTTCACAGGATAGGGAATTGGCTAAATGAAAAAAAGCATAGGGTTATTATAATTGTAGTTCAGTCAAACTGGATTAATGTCACATGTGGGGTACCTCGAGCTCAGTGTTAGGATATTTGCTCTTTTTGATTTACATGAATGACATAGATGAAGGAATGATCAAAAGATTGTTTACGTTTGCTGATGACAGTAAAGTTTTGAGTGTTGTTGGCTGTCGGGAGGATGCTACTGCCTTACAAATAGATTTGTATTATTTGTTGAGTTGGATGAATAAATAGCAGATAAATTTTAATCATAATAAATGCATGTGAAATATCAACATTTTAATTATTATTACAATTTTGATATGAATAACCTTAACAGTGTTATGGAAGAAAAAAATATTGATGTTCTGGCTGATCAGACTTTTAAGCCATCCAAGCAATTTGGTGTAGCCAGTGGCAGAGTAGGTTTTAGGTCCTGTCTACAGAATTATTAAATACAGGTCTAAAGAGGTTATAATGTCATTGATTAGGTAACATTTAGAGAATTGTGTTAAGTCTTTGATTCCTTACCTTAGGAAGGACACTGAATTGTTGGAAAGAGTTCGGAAAAGGGCTACTAGGATGAAACCTAGGATCAAAAGGTTATCACATGACAATAAGTTAAGATCTCTAAAATTGTTTTCTCATGAAAAAAGGAATAGACAGAGGGGATCTGAGTGAGGTGTTTAAGATTGTTAAGGGAACTTATAGTGTTGACACATCACTTCTTTTCATATTTAATGGTGAGAATAGTAAGACTAGGGTACACAAATATAAATTTTGGAAGGGAAGAAGTCATCTTCAGCTAAGACAGCTTTATTTTTATAACAGGGTGGTTGGCTTCTGGAATGGGCTGCCTTCAGGTGTACTGTATGTAGCTAATTTAAGAGAGTTTAAGGGAAAGCTTGATAACTATTTGAATGATAAGGACTGGCTTTGAGATTTTCTTGTTGTTTTTTTCTTTTTTTTTGGGGGGGGGGGGTAATTTAATGGATAGAAAAACTCAGATAGACCAAAAGATCTTTTGTTGTCCATTAATATTATGTTAATGCAGTGATAATACTGGGTGTTTGTTGTGAATGTTCATGTATTAGTAAAGAGAAAAAACAAATTTAACATTAAATACACAATTCCAATTATATGGGAGGTGAATATTTTTTTGTTGGTTTTTTTTTTTTTATGAGTATGCCTGAATATCTGTTTAAAAAAAAGGTTTTGTGCACTTATCAAGTTTGATATTTGATAAAATTATTAACTAAAGAATAAAAACATGGTAAAAAAGACGAAAAACATTTTATTTACATATTTCACTGACTATTTTGGAATACTCATTCCACCACAAGTCTGAAAAAAAAGGATTTATTGATATAGATACAATTACAAATTACATAAAATCATAATGATTCTAGAGAAAATGAACTTTAGAAAACATCAAAAAGGAACACGCAGTAGAACACATAAATCATATGCAAAGTTTATACCTTAAAAATACAAGCTGAAAAATAAAATACTGACACACCAGTCACAATTCTACGGGACACTTGAAATACGGACTAATGGTGGAAGGATATCTGTCAATTATTAATACCAGAATAGTCTTTCACAAACAAAAGTTCTAGGTCTTTACACGCAGTTCTAATGGTGGTAAATTTGTTAATTTAAATATTATGTAATAAAACTAAATCACTGCAAAAAAAAATGTTGAAATTGACACAAATCTATTTTATTTAGTAACATTTTGTCAGTGTTAATATGAAAATTGATATATAATGACCTGTGGGATCTGATAGTGGTAAGGTTTAACTAGGTAAAAAACAGTTCTGCTTGATACCCCTAAATGCTCTAAGACTTAGCTTTGCCAATGTACATACTTTTCAGTCACTACACATGTATTTATATAAGAACCATGACTGAAAGACTGTTGGCAGTCAGTCCTTACACTGAAAGATTGTTTTTTATTTAGGAACTAGATTTAGAGATAAGTCTGAGTTGAATCTGAGGGTAACAGACTTTAACCAACCTATAGGTTGACAAAAATAACTTCTACCCCAGATTCAACTCAATACTTGTCTTTATACCTGCAGAATTCTCTAGGAGTAAATAAAAACATATCTTTGAAGGAGGTGGATAAAAGTGGTGAACAATGATGACTTACAGTACACAAATAAATGGTTGTCAAATAAACAAAACTTTATTGCAAGCAGTATTAACAAATATCCATGGTATACACTCTTAACCTTTACTCTTTACTCACTGCTAATTTCTGTGGGTGGGATGGAAACCTAATTTCATATTAAATAAAAAAGCATTATTTTAACTTAGTGTTCAAAATCTGTATTACACAGTCAACACACTGATAAACAAATCAATGACATTTATAGATATCTTTTGGTTTTCAATTCATGTACTGAAACTGGGGTTATATAAAGTAAGTATTATATAATCCACACACATATTGATAAATAAATCAATGACATGTACATATGCTGGAGCTTTAAAAAAGTTCTCTAACCAAC